GATTCTGTCTTTCACTGTTAGAATGTACATATGATTAAAGTTATAGATCGTTGCATTCTTTGTAAGTGGGCAAACCTGCAAAATCAGCAAGGGGTCAAATACTTATTTCCCCCACTGTATGTTCATTCAGTTTTGGGGATTTGAACCTTTAGAATCTGGTTTGTTAGAATCTGAAAAGAGAACTTTCCATAAAACATCTCAATGAACATTAATATTACTATTTCTCTCAATTATCCACTAAAATGGGTCAACATTTAGCATTAAACATTGACTATCCTGCATTTTTTTGCATCATTTGCTTCATTCTTTAATGTAAAAGTATAAAAAAAACTACTTCATCCTGAAACAAATGATATATGTTCATTCAATTTGGGGGATTTGAACCTTTAGAATCTGGTTTGTTTACATGCCTCCTCTGAAAAAACCTTCCATAAAACATATTAATGAACATTAATATTATTATTTATCTCAATTATCCACTGAAATGGGTCAACGATTAGCATAAAACATTGACTATCCTGCATTTTTTTTTGCAAGATTTGCTTAATTCTTTAATGGAAAAGTGTTAAAATTAAATACTGAAAGTTAATAGAAAAAACATATATAACATTTAAATTATGTTTAAATAAATGTGTGATTAAGATGTTTATTTCTATTGACATTTTTTAAATTTCTGTGTATCTTAGCCATTTCAAGCTAATTTAAAGATCTCGGATTACAATCAAAGCACTTCACAATCACGGACCTCCTGAAACTTTTGCGGTATTTATTCAGTACAGCTTTGAAAAATGCCTTTAAAATAAAGAAAACTGTCCGGAGCATACGTGCGTTTGGGGTTTTGTTTCTCCTCACCTCGATCTCTCCGTCGGATTGGCTGGAGACGCCGTGCGCCCGGTCGCTGAGGAGAACGAGTCGGCTGAACTCGTCCTGGATGAAGGCCGTCCGAACCATGGGGAAGTAATTCTGCAAGATAAATGTGTTTCAGTTGATTCGTCAGTTAAAGAT